ATAAAACAGTAGCTTTAACTTTTAAACTTTTTATACAGTCCTATAGATATACTTATGTACGTCTTTGAGCATTATACGCGTATGCTCTTTGGCATATAAAAAAAAAACCATAAACTTAATCAGTAAGACTGTAGCACGGAACTGGTTGTCAATTTAGTCGCTCAAAGAACTCCAATAATATTTTGACAAGTCTTCATTGTTTCGCGATGATCATCAAAGAATTTGCAAATAATTTAAAAACAAACAGCGGAATTCCTGCTGCTGTTTGCTGCTACTGTCCTATGAACCCAACTAAAAATAGTGCAGAAAAAAAACCAGAAAATTAGTGAAACGCACGGGAAGATTGGAACCCTTTATGTTTGGTTCAGAATTTTGCAGAAATGATTGTTGTCGTTGGTGTTGATCAGTGATGTTCTTTGATCACAACCATTTTGTTCAGATTTAGCAACAGCTTTAGGTGCAATGCAAATAATGGCAAAGATCACGTCCCCTACAAACAGCACCGACAACAAGCAGCAAAAGTTCTTTTTTTTTTTTCTGTATTACACTCAGTAAGATTCCTTTCATCTGCTACACATCTTTTTCAAACGATACCAATCGAATATTTTTTGCAGTTCAAAGCAGACAATTACCTCAAATATTTTTTAAAAAAAAACTGCGAAAAAAATAGCCTATCGCCAAACAAATATATTTAACACTAATTGTTATTGAAAAAATTTTTTACCCGAAAGAACCTCAGAAGAAAATGACAGGAAATACAAGAGAACATTTTTTTTTCATTCATTTCAAAACTTTTTTTTGCCTTCAGAACACAATCAGATTAAATTTTTGACTGATTTATAATGATAACCGAACAACTTTTACTCTCTTATATTCGTCGTTTCTTCTTCTTCTGTCATCATTTTTGATCTTCCTCCGTCGACTCTCACCTTTTTCCCCTTGAGAGCAGCTGCTACAGTTCAACTATTCGCCGGTTAAAATTTTTTTCACCACTACTGAAAACTGTATACATCGTCATCTTCATCCACAGACTAATTTCAATGCCATAAGTTACTGCAAATAGACACCTGAAAGTCAATGTAACAAAAAACGTAAATTTAGACCGTTCAAAAGGTTGCAAAGCTTCCCACCAAAGTGCGTTGGTCAACTGCAATTTCAGTCTTATTTCTTGCACTGAAATAGCCTTAAGGTCTCGACGTAGACTTTAGAGAACAAAAACTTTGTAATCAACAACGTTAATTTAATGTAGTTTCCATTCCTTTTTTTTTTACTTTATGGCCACCAACCATTAGTCTGATACAAGCAAAATCTACTGCTTCTCCACCTCAAAAGCAACTGAACTGAGAAGAATAATAAACGTGATTGAATTAAAAAGCAGTAAACGAAAATAAAACTAGGGAAAAAAGGAACAAGTAACTACAAATTTTTTCAGTCTCCTTCATAGCGTCTTTAAAGCTACCAAACCGCACTCATCATTTTCCTGTAAGTACATGTAAAT